ACTCAGATTGATCATATATCGATTCACAAATATTTAGCTAGTAATATTTTTCACCAATCGGGAACAAGCATCTCATATCACAAAGAATAAGTTCATCATGCAAACCATCATCAATAATATCGGTAAACATTTTTAAAGTGATCACAATAATTCGTTGTGACATGTTTATCACAAACATTTCACATCATCTTTCGGCGGCAATAAATGCACTTTAAGTGTAGGCTCTGGTATAATATCTTTTAACCACTGTTTAAATCCAGAATCGTATCATGCTGTCTGACACACATACTTTTGAACACTGTTTAAGTCCAGAGTCGTATCTCATACGCATCATATTTTTCTATAAATTATCAGGTAATTCATTCAATTTTCTTTAACAAAGGTCCGAATTTACAAATGGATTTAGCACTCTCAAATATCCGTAAATATTATTCTTTTCTTCCGAAAAATATCATAAAAAGGATTTATCGATCTCGATTAGAAAGATTGAGGATGCTAATGAATAATGGTATTCCAAATGATGTTAGATGGTTGATCGAAGCACAAGTTCGATTGTCTGGAGAGTTTCCAAATTCATATAAATATATGCCAGGTATGGGTAAAAGTACTTATGCAAAGAAACGAAGAGCAAAAAGGTTAGGTGGATGCTTCAAATGCGCTCGATGGACTTGTGACACACGATGTATATCTGTGGGGTACGTGTCCAAAAATCGAGAAGATAAAATAACGTTTATAAAGGATGGATTGAGTAAGGAGTCTTTGGATCAAACGATTCAACAGATTCTTGAGACACATCCTAGTGGATACGTGCATCGTGAGCTTATGTCTTTATGGATTCAGTTCAAAAATGAAGAAGAACGTTATAGTCTCGAAAATATTATTTCAAAAGATCAAGTTTGTAAAACTGGTCTTGTTAGTACGAAAAATCATACTAATACAGTTTAGTATGTTGTACTGTAATTTTCTAGAAAAACTTATAGTTGCCGACAGATAAGATTTATTTAAAACCCAACACCTTATCTGTCAGTTGCAATTGTCAGAAGAAAACAGTAAAATTATTTATTGCTTTGTAAAACTTTCTATTTAAATAGCGAGTCGTTCATCATAATCATATGCCTCACAAAGTTTTGAAAAATTCAGTTTATCAATAAATAGATGGATGTTTCAGAGTCTTCGCAAGGTAATAATTTTCTTCAACCGATCAAAACCATATGTGTTCTTGGTGGTTCTAAACTGGTAAGTTTTTCTCAAACTATTGATATTGTAAGTCAGTTAGTCAAAGAGATGGGGAATCAAAAAATCAATTTGCTGTATGGAGGGACTAGCAATACTTTCTATGATAGTCTCTTAATGGCTGGACAATGTTTTGAGATAGAAGTGAAAAGTATCATACCTTTTCGTAGAGCTTCAACAAAGGTCGTCAAGGATTCCACAAGCATGATGTTAACTCATTCCATTCATGATTGTATGATGGATATGGTGAACAATAGCGATGCTTTTATCATTCTTCCAGGCGGGTATGGAACGCTAATGACAATGTTCACCATTGCTTTATGGGCAGAATTGAAACTTCATAACAAGCCCATAGGTCTATTGAACTTTAATAACTTCTTTCATGGTTTGCTTGGATTTTTAGACATAGGAGTATATCAAACCTTTATATCTCCTTCAATGAGAGAAGTATTCAAATCTGCTGACACGTCTGCTGAACTTATCAAAAAGCTTCAAGAATGCATCACATTTCAAGATTCTGTGGAAACACAAGGGGTCAAGCGAAAAAGAGCTTTTGATCCTTTAGATCTCTCATTATGAACCCAGATATTATTCAAATATGAACCCAGATATCATTCATGGGTGGCAGAGTTACGGAGTTTTACACTCTCGAGACGCACCCTTCTTTTATGGGTTCTATTATGTAATCTTTGCGTATTTTGTATTCATCGAGTATTTACTGCCTCTTTTCCATATTTCCACCATCTGAACATTTTGTACTTGTTTCTCAGTAATAATAAGTGTGTAGTACTTCATGACTACAATCATTGTCATATGTGCTTATTCTGTAGCACTTTATTGTAATATATGTATGATCTCGAATCTCAATGTGTTCTGATATAGTCCCTTAGACTCATTTACTATATTAAGAAATTATTTTGTGTGATCACCCCATAACTGGTAACTTTTGGTATCATTTTCTCATTTTTGTTCAATCATCCAATGGTAGCTTCTGGTACCATTTCATCATTTTGTTTAATCGTTATATGGTAGTTTTAAGTACCATTTATACAAGGATATCATTTAATCATTATATCATAACTTTCGACATCACATTAATCACGTGGTAACTACTGGTACCATCTCGTCAATATTCGTTTTTCCATAAATTTGGAGAATTTATCAATTATTTCTCTAGGATCATATTAGTCCATATAATGTCCTTTCATGATCAGGACTTTAATCAGCTTTTCATATGGCCGGATACACAGTATCATTAATTTCATTCATCGGCTATCACTTAATTTGTACTGCCCGTCGCCGGCGGCAGAGCCGCACTGGTCGGCCCATGTATATATATAGCCATTCATATCCTTTTATATGTATATTTGTTTGCACATGGCCATATCATATGGCCATTCCATATCACCGGTTATCATTAATATGTTTTTCATTTTGGCCATCACCGGTCATCATTATTCAATACACTTATCATCTGGCCATCGCCGGTCATCATTATTCAATACATTGACCGGTTCACTTAGTTGATCAAATCTTCTTTTGTATTGTCTATTTCAGTGGATACACTGCTCGACCATTTCACATGATTTTTCATATTTCAACAGTTGACCCGTTGGCTAAATATCACTTGCCGGCGGCAGAGCCGCACTGGCCGGTCTATGTAGCCACACATATTTATTTTTCATATCACACGGGTCAATCTATAAATATTTGCATGTTCACATACCAAATAATTTTTTACAATAGAGTAACTCAAACATTTCTTAATCATATAATATAATAAACCATATCAATATTGGTCTTAAATCGAAGCTCTATTTAAATGAAATATTATGATATTGTAAAACACTAATTTTGATCATGTATGCCTTTTGTTTTTGAGAAAATTAGATTTTAAAGTTTAATGAATCATTGAAATATATTGTTAATATAAAACATTGAATTTTCCAGAATTCACCGTGATATCATTGCCACACTATCAATATAGTGTATTTATTTATTTCAATGGGTCACTATCAATATTAAATGCATTTGTTTTAATGTGTTGCACTTGCCGACACAATCAATGCAATGTTGTGTTCAATATTTATTTTAGTTGTATCCTTTCTTTGACTTCTTTTTTTTTTTTAATATTATTTTTATTTATTTGTCACAACACATATGATAAATAAGTATTTGTGACTCACCACACAGACGGCAGACCAAGCAACTTCAGCGTCTTTCAAATACCCAGCGAAGAAGACCAAAAGCATAAAATATGATGCCTCCAACCACATCATGACAACGGATATTAGAGGGAGTCTAACAAAACCCCACAAGTTATGACACACCGTGAGCGTGAACCCAGGCCACGTCTTGCTGCAGGTGCCGCTGAGGACGTAGACCAGCTACGCCACCACTATGAACCACCAAGAAGCGTCCAACACTTCTACCCGGCCAGAAGCAAAAGATTTCAATTGCTCGGGCTATTCTTACGCCTATTTCATTGTTGGATGAAGCTCTAGATACTTTGTTTATGGAACAAGATCACCATTCTTATTTCATTTTTCATTTTGGGAAACAAAAGATTACTTTTGTTTAAATGGTTCTTGATTATGGTAGGTGTCAATTGAAGCATATTATGTGCTGAAAACAAAATTGAAATGGCTAAAGGTAGAGCATGAAGTTCATAAGCTCCCGATTAGTGACAGGAAAAAATTTGTTTGCAGAAAATAACTATTTATAATACTTAGATTTCTGATACAGAAGATCATCTCTAAGATGCAACCGTAGAGCATACTCTCGTCATATTACAAATCGAGTTCTAGAGGGCAGAGACTCGTGCTGATAACGTGTTATAAAACTAGAGAGAAAGAGAGAGAATAGAGAAAATGTATTCTCTTAGGTGTGTTTTTCATTATAACTTAAGCTCCTATTTATAGGAAACTCCTGATGGCACAATTTGTAATAATACAAATACATCGAGGGCAAAATAGTCATTCACATACATTATTTTATTATTTCATAACAAAGACAAAATAATATATAAAGAATACAAAGAAGAGAAAAGAAGAGTTTGGCCAAAATGTGGATGGCACATTTTGTTCACATCTTTTTTATTTCACTCCGGAGTTTAGGACTATGTTGGTAAAACTAGTTGATAAGCTAGTTGATAGGTTATCGGTAATTTTTGAGTTCATAGCTTATAGTTTTTTACTTATAGCTGAAAAATTAGCTTATATGTTAAAAGTGTTTGGTAAAATTAGCTGATCAGCTAACAAAATAAAAATTGCAACGAGCTTATTTGAAAAGATACCCAAAGAAACTTATGAGATAAACTTGAACTTTATAAAAAAAACAAGATACCCAAAGAAACTTATGAGATAAACTTGAACTTTATAAAAAAAACTCGTTCTGCCAAATGAATCTTATTTAAATACAAGAAGCTTATAAGCTAACCAAATAAGCTATAAACTAATTTATTAGTCTACCAAACATAGTCTAGGGTGTTTGTTTATAAACATACTCAATCCAAACTCAAAATTTAACTTAAGTTTAATTCAACCACATTATTCTCAATATTACCAAGATCTTCTCATTGGAAAACTTGTAAATTGATTCAGTAAACACATCGAGAGAGAATGGGACGAGCGGAAAATCTAATTTCGCATCGAAAATAGAAATGAAAAACTTAACACAACATGTCAAAAACCCAGAATTTCAGCACAACTAACAAAAGGGCAAATTACTACATATCCAACTTCATCATTAAAAAGAAAAAGAAAAAGAAAAAAGAAAAAAGAAAAGAGAAACGTGCACTACCAACTTAGAGATTCCCAAAGAAATCCAATCAAGCTGCAGCTGATTTCTTCTTCTCCTCCTCGATTCTTTTCAGCTCAACCAATCTTTCAGCCCAGGCTCTTTCCCTTGCAACGGCAGCCATCTTTCGTTCCACCCTTTTCATTAATTTTTTCTTTCTAGCCTCCTGCATTTGAGCTTTTCGCTTCCTTTTTTCAGACTACACCACATCACAGAGTATTAGAAATACATAGTTAGAAAATATCTCTGATGGGTATAAAGAACAAGCACAATCAAATATCAAGAACGAGGATAACTTATTATAGTCTTTGAAGAATGACAGATGTTTAGAAGCAGAATGAGAATCTCAATTTAATTGAAAAATGACCAAAGATAGGAAACCAATTCTTGGGCAGAGAACAAACAGCGTGAAAGTAAAATGCAGAGCAGCTGGCCGGACTTTGAGATGTAGAGAACTTTAGTGAGCCATGGTTATATCAGTCAATAACCACCTCCAACTACCACTAAGGTAAGTCGATAGACGATAAAAAATTGGTTTTCCTCCAATAGTTCTTTAGAAGAAGAAACAATTTTGGCATCATATTTGAGTACCCCAATAGGCTTCTTAATACTAGTCCAAACTCTCATGCCTTCTCCATAGAAACCTATCACGATAAGCAACTTGGGGCAGTTTCCAAGAGCAGAAAGCAATAGAACATATCCAAAGTTGTCACTATCCTAAAATCAAACTAGAGCTCAAAAAACAAATCACTCTTTGTCTGCAAAAATGGGACCAAAATTGTATTCGAAAATTGTATTCGTTTTGGAGGTGGGATTTGGAGTGAGATTTCGTGTAAGGTTTTTTCTTTTGAAATCCCAGCAAATCTTAAAAAGTCTCAACAAATCCTAGTCTCAAATAAGTTAAATACCTCAGGATTTTGTAAGACTTTTTAAAATCTTAGATGAATAACCCGAGACTTTTAAAAGTCTTAAAAGGTCAAAATTAAAATACAATAGGATTTCTAAAGTCTTAAAAAGTCTTTAGAAATCTCAATTGAATATATTTCTGTAGCTGTCACTTGGATCATCTATAATCAAATCTGAGGTATACCTCAACCAAAAATAGGACCAGGATAACTCATAACAAAAAGTCAAATTCAGTCTACTATGACAGGTCTATGATGTTGCCTATTTTCATACTTAATTTCTATGAGAGTGTATTCAGTTGAACAAAGCATACCAGGAAGAGGTGACCAGATGAGTGCCTAAATTCAGTCTAAGCAAGAACGAATGGCCAAAAGTTCTCCCAATTTTATCTTCAGTGACTATAAACTCTCTGTTGAAACAAAAAACTAAAGGTTATCTTCATGTCTGTTAAATAATCTACACAAGCACTAAAATCTTGAATTGCCGCCTTCCCCAATTCAACAATTAGAAGTCACATACATTATGTTTATACACATTTCCTTCACCTCCTAGTCCTAAAATCATTACAAATAAAACCCATCGAAGGATAGGTTAAGTTTTTAGACGATACAACATTTTTGCACATCCTCCGGCATCTAAACTAGGCAGATACCATTGCCAGCAAGAAATTCACCACTAAGATTAAAAACTTAGGACACATCACTCCTCACAAGTGCACTGCAAAAGGTAGTTCTACTTCCGACTACCAAGAGTTCAATGTGCATCTCTTTGCAAGTAGCACCTCAATCACAATACAATTTACGAAACTGAACAACTAAGAGAAAATATCCTCCAAAAGACAGTCAACATATAGAAATATACCATTATAAACTGGCGATGCTGCTTGATTCTTTTCTTCTCATTCCTCCTCTTCACACTTCCTTCATCTGGTTGGTTTGGAAGTATAGGTTCCCCAGGCACACATTTCACCCAGGCATATGGACCTACCATTAATTTTCCCTTACAAATTTTCAAAGGCTTCAAAAAATAGATGTCGATGCCAAAACCCTAAAGTTCCCAACCTGGAGGTTTCAAGCTGGCCCTTTTGCGGCGGGGATGGTCGTTGGGTCTCCGTTTGGGGTATTTGGTATCCGTAAGGCTGTGGAATGGCGTAAACCGGCGGAGCTCCGGGGGAGTGAGAGTGGAGAGGTTTTTCGATAAATGAGAGACGGGTAAAAGGATCCTTGATACTGGCCGGAAAATGGATCTTAGGGCTCCAAAACCCATGGCTGTTCAATGATCCGGATTGCAAGCTGATGAAGTAAAAATATTGTTCGAGTAATGCCCGTTAAACGGTTTTAAATTGGACAATTATTTTCAAAAAAATTATTCCTGTTTTTGAAAACTTGGGATTTTACCTTTAAAAAATGAGGCATTACAAAGGGGAGGGCACAAAGGCAAACACAACAAGTCTCCATTTTCTTACCTTTTTTCTCAAACATTAAGCCTCCTCTTAATAAGGTCATACTAAAGAATAATTTCAGTACAATTTCATCATGAAACTCTCAAGGTAAGGTTTCATCTCCTTACACAACAAAATTGAAGGCAAACATAGTATAACATGCACCTTCTTTTCATCTCCTTTTCTCAAATTGCCAATTAGACAGACTCATGGTCTGAAATTTCATGAAATACTCAGCATAACATTCATATAAAAAGGCACAACAAATTAAAGCAAACTCACGGCACCGTAAACACAAAAACATCTCCAATTCTCTTTATTTCTAACTAACTCTAGCATGCCCCTTTTTTAGCTCCTTAAAACTGATTTTAAGGCCACACTTACTGAGGTTAACCTCTGAAATCTAAGCATCAAAACAGCAAGAAAATGCACCAAAAAGTTCAGCAAAAACAAGGTAGCAACGGAACGAAATAACAAACAACATGTAAGCTCTCTTTTCCTCTTCTCTTTTCTTGAATCTCTTAAATTCATACTATGGCCTTATATACTGAACCTCAACTCTGATTCTAAACACATTTTCAGCAATTAAAATACACTTAGAACAAGTTCAAAAACTCAAGATATAACAAGACCGAAAACATGTATAACGATCACATAAAACATACTCTTCTAGGCTCTTATCTTTAATAAGTCTAAGCATGCATAAAACCTGATTCTTAACTGAAACTTATCATGCCAAAACTCACATTCTCAGCCCAAAAGCATAAGCACATAATGGCTCGGTATGCTTAATCAAAACAAGGCAAAATAACAACTCAAACACCTCTCTTTTGCTCTCAAAATTAAGGCAAGCCTAACAAGCTCTTAGCAACTGAAACTAAGCATTAACTTGACATAAATTTCAATATATATATCAGCACCAAAAACACATGATAAAAGCCCCAAGGATACAGCAACAAAGGCTCAACATATTCAAAACAAAATAAGGCCAAAAACATGTGTCAAAACCACATAGAACATGCTCATTATTTGCTTGCAATAACATGATTCTCACTCATTTTGCAGCATATAAAAGATCCCTTAAATTCATACTTTCAGCATGGATTTCCACCAGAAATAGGTTCAGTAAGTACCACAACAAAATGAGGCCAAGACTACACCTTTGCTTCTAAAATTCTTCACAAAACAACTTCAAACTGTGCATGCCATTTAACCACTTATCTAACTGAATTCTAAGCTCAAGAAACTCTGAAATTTATGCATAAAAATGCAGCAACCAATTTATAGGAACATGGTTCAGCCACTTAAACGAAACAAGCTAAAACAATACTCAACGTGCTCCTCTTTTCTCTAAATCTAAAGCATGCGCAACAACTTATCAAAGCTAAAACTTGAACACTAAAACCTTCTAAAATTCAGCCAAAAATAGGTTCAATAGGCTCAGCAATTAATACCTTTCTTCAGGTATTAGAATAGGAGAAGGGGGCTCGGGTCTGTGGCCCTCGAGTCTAATGCCATGGCTTGCGGGGAATGGCTCGGCTTTGCCTGGTTAAGCTCGGTTCTCAGGTCTTTCTCTCACGCCATGGATGCTGATGTAGGCTCCCTGTTTCGATCTCCTGGTATGCCTCGGGTCCTCTCGGTTGCACTCCCGCCGGCGGCTGCTTGCACTCGGCTATGAAGGCTCTTTACTGCGGGAGGATTTTTGTTCGGAGATTTGATGCTTTTCGTGATTTTTCTACAGTGACTAGAGTTGGTCTTAGGCTTGGGATAGACGTGTCTTGGTTCTTGCTTTCAAATTTCAATGTATTAAACACACAACTACGAATCTCGTGCAATGCACGCTAACATATATTCATTAATATTTATAAATAAAAAATATTCATTAAATAATAAATTAAAAATATAGAATTAATATATAATACAATTCAACTTTATGAAATTTAAATTTTACAAAATTACATTAAACAATGTATATTTAAAATTAGTACACAACTCGTATGGTGCACATAACTAATAATAATTATATTATATTCATTTAGAAATAAGTGTCATTTTAAAATTTTTATTCATAAATTCGATTTGAATACAATGTGATTCAAAATAAGTCTCGGTGTTTCAACGATGTTAGGAGGGGTGTGGTGTGGTGGATGGGGTCGGGCTCGGCTCTGGTGGCTCGTGGCCTCTGTGCCAGAGGAGCTGGGGTTGAGGAGGGACTGAGCCGCTAACACCTCCTCGTTCCTCTGGTGCTGGGGACGGGGGAGGATACGGTGAATCCGCGTTCGGCTAGTGATATTAGACGAGTTCGGGTTGTACTGGTGTGGGTAGTCGATTGGATGTTCCACCGATTGGAGGCGGGTCGATTTTGGGTTTGGTTGGGGGCTTGGGTTCGGCTTCTGTATAGGCGGTTTGGCAGTTTCGGTAGTGGTTCTTCAGGCTTAGGATCACACTTCGGAGTTGGCTGTTTCTCAGTTGGTTTCGGTTTAGTTGATCTGCTGTGGAAGGCCCCCTTTTTAATTTTAGTTTGTTTGTTTTGTTTTTGTTTGGTGTTTTTTGTTGTTGTTTGGTTAGGAGTCGTGTTTTTGGTTTGGGCCGTTGGCCCCTGTGAGCCCGAGTGTGAGCGGATATTACTCCGTTGGGGTCGTTTTAGTCTCCTGTTTGAGAGTTAGTTTGTAGTTTTTGTAGTTTCTTTGCGTTGCGTTGTTGTGAGTTTATTTTCTAGGGTTGCTAGGCTGGCTCTAGGCGGTCTTCTGACCTGTTTTCCCACTTTTCAACTGTTGGCTGCACTATTCAGCTAGGGGCTGTGTAAGTTGCACATTTGTGCGTTTTGATTTATAATATTCTCTATCGTTTCGGAAAAAAAAAAAAAAAAGAGATAATGGAAAAGATAAAAGTAGATTTACATTGAAGAATATTTATCTAGCATGAGGTAATATTTTTATTTATTCCCTTATAAGTTTGAAATTATAAAGAGGTAGACATAAAACAGGCTAAATTTCATTTTTAATACACTATGTTGGTCATTTTTCAAAAAAATCCATCATATGGGGCATTATCAAGAATGGTCCACTAAGTTGCCACTTTAATCAAAACTATACAATAGCCAACATAGTGTACTAAAAATGGCAATAAAAAATTATCAACTTTAGTACACTATGTTGGTTATTGTACATATTTTGATTAAAATAGAAACTTAGTGGACCATTCTTGATAACACACTACATAATGGACCTTTTTCGGAAATGGCCAACGTAGTGGACTATTTTTTAAATTTGCCACATAAAACGGATGTGAAAATTTTTTCTAGCATCATGTACGTGATACTAAATAAATATAACAAGTTATTTGTCGAACCATTTTATCAATTATTACGTTCACAACCACATGAAATATTCACAACATAATATTATATATATATATATATATATATATATATATATATATATATATCAGTTTGATACTAAGATACGGTTCCATGTTGCTGAAGAAATCTTCTACTTTGCTCGCTTGGCGACTCTCCCATGCTATCTACGTACTTACCAATTGCCTGCTTCTTCACAATCCTTTTCTCAAAGCCTAGTCTAAGGCTAGTGATGTCAAGACACCACCAATTCATAGAGATGACTTCATCACCTCAACTTTCTCATGAACGTTGTTCTTGAGGTGTTAGGCCCCTCGACTTACTGAGGAGGGTGTCCGAGCTTCAAGTTGATCTTGGAACATGTTGTCTTCTTGCATTGGGTCGACAATTTCTCGACTCTCGAAGGTGAGGACTTACTCTCCTCCTTGAGTCTACTGAGCTTCCGGTAATGGGCACATCTTCTTTTATTCTGAACCATCGGGCGCACCTTATGGTGACGCTCTTGGTCCAACAGTTCGCAACTCGGATCTGGGTCTTCAACTCTTGTAGCTCCTTGGCGTCTCTCCGTACGACGCTTTAAAACTGGTCCTACTCCAACACCAGGTCAATTGAGTTCTACCTATCGGTCAGATGATCTTCCCGGTAACATTTTTGAAAATACGTACACGAAATTACGAGCAATGGTTACCTCTTCGGACGTTGTCAATGAAGGGTTCTCTCTTAACGACTTCTAGAATTTTCCGTATCGGCATATCATCCATCAGCCCACAAACTCCAAACTCGAGAATTGTGGCATTTGGCATAGGTATGCGAAATTCTATAAATCTTCGTCTTTCTAAACAACTATCTTCAACTTTCACGTGTGCGGAGGTTGGTTCCTCTTCTTGAATTATAATGGTTGCGAGCTCCCTCTCGGCCTCCGTTAGATCTTCTGGTGACTGCTATTGGGACTTTCTGGGGGTGATGGTTACTCATACTACCTTTGACAACCATACACCAAAATTTCAGGCAGTCTCTCTCTCTCTCTCTCTCTCTCTTTCTTCGTTGTTGAGGTGGCTCGTCGCATGTACTTCGTTATAACTGCGCGTAAAATGATCTTATTTGTCTGTAACGTCCGTTTACCTAACCTTCGCAAATGCTGAATTATGGCAACAAGTTGCATTTTGCGGCCTTTATAACATGGAATTGCAATGAAAATTTAACAAAGACGTACAAAAAAACATCCAACATTCTCAGTCTCAACTTTAAATTTCAACGGAGTTTCAAAATGGGCAGAAATTCTGCAGCAAAAGATTTCGAAATGAGTTCATAGAATGGAGCTATTACTGCTAAATAAAACTACGCCTATTTTCTTGAGTCTTCGGGAGTTCGGCTTCTACTGGTTCTGCTGTTGTTGACCCTTTTGGTTCTCTGCGCGATCATAGCACATACGGGTCGTGTGGCCAGGCCTCCGACGATGGTAGCATATGTCTCGTCCAGCTAGGCACTCGCCGGGATGGCTGTTGTGTACAAATTGTTATATTTTACCGAGTACCGAATCAAAGATTCGTTTCCCGGGTCGATCTCTCGAGGAAGGCGGTTCGGAATTTAGCTTTGGTAATGATAACACATAAGAAGAAAACAAAATCCTAAACACTCTAATCACAAAAGGGGTTTGAATAATTACTGTCTAAAAAACAATAAAGAGCAATAATCTACCTAAAAATGTGGATGGAACAAAGATGGAGAAACTAGGGAATCGGGGATAATTAATTCAAGTTCTAGCAAAGCCGGGCAATTAATCGTTCGGTTCGAGATTGACACTCTCGCTTAAACATCTAGAGGTTCGCTCCCAATAACTCTTCGTAACAAGGGATTGAACATAGACCAACAAACTCGAGCATACAACACAAGCCAATTATCCCAATCCCAATAACTTTTCGTAACAAGGGACGGGACATCGACAAGCACGTATTTCAATCTCAACCCATAGATTACTCAGTTACGAAATAATCTATCTCATGCAAGCCTAGGTCTACGACTTCTCCCCTTTCGGTTCTGAAAGTCGCTAATTAACTAGAAGGTGATTAATCAACTAATCATATAGAACTGACAAACCCTAACTCAACAAATTAACATTCAATTGTTTCCAATCGCAAGATCAAAGTGTCACTCTTCGATTATATCAATCAATCAAGCAAGATTACATCAATTCCTAATCAGATTAACTCACATAAGCATGAACAATTCAAGCCCGACAAATACACGTGAAACATGAACGATCATCCCCTATCCCTAACAATAAGATTTAGCTAAGTAACATGAATTCAACACAAGAAAGCATTTCACCCCAAATAATCATTCTCATGAATTAAACGTGATGAAAAATACTTACAATCAATCCAATCCGAAAGTTGAATCCAAAATACAAGCTTAATCCCTAAAATGGAAAAGAAAGAAAAATGGAGAAGAAAGATGGAGAAGAGGAGAAGAGAAGAAGAAGAAGAAGGAAAATGAAGGGGGGAGGCGATTTTCGGACCTAGGGTTCCTCCCCCTTCAAGTTGGAAGTGAAAGAATGGAGAAGAAAACGAGTTTTTGGGGTTTTTAAATCATTCTCGGACTTGCAGGGGGCCTTAGCGCCGCTAAGGGGGGTTAGCGCCGCTAAGGTGCCTTAGCCGTTCGAGCCAGTAACGTGTAGCGCCGCTATCCTGTGTGCCTTAGCGCCGCTAAGGTGCCTTAGCGGCGCTAAGGTTCTGGGCAGCCTGCTGGACTTTGCTTTTCGGGCTCGTTTGGGCTCGTTTGAACTCGGAATTGAGTTCCGTTTTTTCCTACGCGTAGCTAACGAACCCCTCTATCTAACTATGTAATCTCAGCACATATTTTCCTGAAAACTTGTCCTCCCAAAGCTTCCGACCTGCACACAAAAAATGAAAGAAAAGACGAAGAAAACCGGAAAAACACAGAAATACTCACAAAGACGCGAAACACGAAATAAACGACAAAACGACTCTAAAACCACACAAGTGACTCAAAATGGGAGAAAAAGAACGAGAAAATAGACACGAAAAATGTAACAAAAATGGGACAAACAACTCCCCCACACTTAAACCTTTGTTCGTCCCGAACAAAAACAAAAGAAAAGAAAACAAGACACGAGCATGAATATCGATTTCATACAAGAAAAGCCTCAGAAATATTTAACTCAACCGGGTTGAATTCCAACGATTGTACGACCATATGCCTCAAATATCAACTTGGCCTCAAAATGACAAACTCTCAAATACAGAAATATTAGTACATGCCTCACTCATTCTTTTACATGAATATATGATAGGATCGCT